TTATACGTATATATATAAATATAAATACACGTTTATATATATTCGTATATTGATATGTATAAATATTTAATATATATGTATATATAAAATACACATTTATGTATAAATACTCAGTATATTTGTAGTGTGGGGAATGGAAAAGGAACTTCATTTTGGTTGGATTACTGGACCGCCTTGGGTCCATTAATTGATGTGGTTGGTGATTTGGAGTCAAGGCAATTGCGGCTCCCCGAAAGGGCAAAAATTAGTGATGCAGCCCCGATGGGAAGCTGGAATTTGTCTCCAGCGAATAATGGTAGACTGTTGCAATTGCAAGCGACTCTAGTAGAGTTTCAACCTCTAACAGACAATAGGGGCGAAGACCTTTATTTGTGACAACAAAAGGCAGGGGGTTTCAAGGCATGTTTTACTTCTTCCAACACTCGGTTTTTGCTAAGACAACGGGGAAACGATGTTCCCTGGCATAACCTGATTTGGTTTTGAGGATCTGACTTTCGTCCTATGGTAAACAGTGTAACACCTGCCCATTTTAGATAGACTATCTTCTTGGGGTATGCAGGTCAGTACAGTATGTTCTTTATGCAATTAGGAACATGAATCATATGCACACTTGTTTTTCAGCATGGATATATGAAACACCATTGTCAAGTTCTATTGGTCATCGCCACCGTCTGAGCTTGGAGATTGCCCTTAATGGATGAAGCCATATGACAGACTCGGACGGGATCAGCCAACTCTAGCGAGACTAAGCATGCAAATGATTGTCTATGAGATATGGAGAGAACATAACAATCGGATTTTCAGAGGAAACCTTAGAACCACAAGAGAGATACACAACAAGATAGATCGGACAATGCGGGACACCTTCCTTTCCATGAAGATATCACATAGACAATCCATAAGTTGTCGTTTCCTTGAACATTGGTATTATTTGATGCGTAATCGTTGATCAAAACAGAGATCTTTTATTTTTGTTTGTTAAGTGACAATTACTTGTGTAGGATGACTTGTTTACCTTTTCAGAATCTTTTGTAAATGTCCTATAGGGGTCTTCATATATCCTATTGTCCAAGTGCTTAGGTTTTGCATCATAACCCATTTGTAGTTTATGTATCTCTTGCATTGGTGGATTATACATGTGGTGACACTATATGGTGTGTAAAACGACTCCATGGAAAAATTCGTTTTAACAATGAAAGCTGAGTCTTGTTTTAACTGTAGCCACTAAGGAGATTCGTACTTTTGTCCCTTGCTTGAATTTTGTGGTTCAAACATCTTGGAAGGAAGGACAGGACGGCTGCATAAACAAAGAACATAACAGCAAACTTAAAAAAAGGAGAAGAACTCCGTATTTGGCTTGTTTTTTCCCCAACTAATCTTGGTATTCGCTGTCTTTAGAGCAAAGGCGTGGGGATTGCTTCTAGGATTACGATTGGCATGGAACCGGGGATGGAGAAAAGTGATGGTCGAGGTTGATAACCAAGCCTTGGTATCGGCAATACAGAATTCAGAATCGGGTCTTGCAGTCGATGACTCTATAGTAAATGAGATACAAGAATTGATAGCAAAACCATGGAAGTTTCGATGACTCATGTTTATCGTGAAGCTAATGGTTGTGCAGATGTTGTAGCTTCTTTGGGAATCATGGGGTACAATGGTGATTGAAACACCCCCTCCATATCTCATTCCTCTTCTGATAGCAGACACCATAGGAGTTTCCCTTCCGAAGAGTTGTCCTCTATGGTCTTCATTAGCTTTTCCCTTAGTATTAAAAGAAGAAGAACTCACTTCCCATGAAGGACCAAACACAACACAAATCTATACAACGAACAAGAGAGGAAGAGAGTGATTCCAGATGCCACAGTAAGAGGAATGCTACGACACTTCTTGAGTAAACAAGAAATCATCAAGGATTATAACCGACGTATCTACAGTCAAAATTCATTCGATGGATAGTGGCGTGTGTGACCACTACAAAATTCTCGATTTCTATCAATGGGAGTTTGGAGGGGTATTTCAAAGGAAGACCAGGATTATGCCAAGGTGATCCAATCTCGCTGTATATATTCATATTGGCCATGGAAGTGATGACAACGATGCTAAATAAGTCTGCTATGACTCATGAATTCAGATTGCATTCCAAGTGTCAGAATTCCCCTCGTTACTCATCTTTCATTCGCCGTCGACATTATGATTTTTTCGCATGGGGATGAATCATCCATCCCGCGAATACTGCAGATATTGGAAGAGTTTGATAGTTACTCTGGACTTAAGCTTAATCCCGCTAAGTCGGAGATATTCTTCAACAGGTTGGACACCACAGATGCAGCTAGAATTTGTGAAATAGTAGGCCTTCCTTGAGGTCAACTTCCACTCCACTATTTAGGTGTGTCGTTATCCGCAACAAGGCTTACGAACAGACTATTAACCTTTGATAGACAAGATCAAGGCAAAGCTGGGAGCATAGTCAACCAAGATACTTTCTTCGCCAAAAAAAATACAGCTTATTATATCGGTGATTTATTGAATTGTGAATTCATGGAGTGTGGTCTTTCTACTACCAAAGTTCTCGTTGAGACAAATTGATAGTCTCTGCTCAAACTTTCTGTGGCAACATAAGTAGGGATCTACCACATCTCATCGAGTTTCTTGGAAGGATATTTTCCGGCTTAAGCGTGAGGGGGGACTATGCTTATTTAAGCTAGAGGATGCAAACACTTCCTTCCGGCTGCGACTTATATGGATAATGTTCAGCAAAGAGCATTCCTTATGGGTGGATTGGACTTTGAAGAACACCCTACATAAACATGGTTTTTGGGGATACACCCGCAACGGGAAATGTCTCACATAACATCAGGAGATTATTAAAGATGAGGAACATAGCTCGAAATCTGATCAAAGTGCATATGACACTACAAAAAAAACAACAAAAGGGTGATACAACTCTCGCCACCCTTTTATATTTTTGATGCAACAGTGACGCAACCAAAAGCATCACCATTCACACAGTCACCAATTCAGATCTCATCAACTAGCGTCATCAAAGGGTGACGCAATAGTGACTCAACGTTTGCGTCACTATTTGCGTCACTAAATAGTGACGCAAAAAGGTGACAATTGCGTCACTATTTAGTGACCCTAAAAGGTGATGTAATTATTGCTCACTAAAACGTATTTTCGATCCAATTTTTTTTATATCCCGAACCTACTCTTATACCTAATCCCGACCTCTAATCTCCAACCGCGATCTTAAACCGAATTGGAAATTTTGAAATTGAAACTCCGAAATCCACTTCCCAAGAGGTCACCCATCATTCCACTGCCCCAGTTCAAACACGTTTAACTTTACCGTTTCAATTGACAAATAACCAGCTGCTCTAAGTTAAACTTCTGATACATTATAACATTAATACATATACATATACAAATATTTATACTTACAAATATACATACGTATATATTTGTACGTATATACACATACATAAAATATAAATATTTATATATAACATAGGTTTGTACGTATAAATACATACATATATATATACATAAATACTCTTTTATATATATTCATATGTATAAATATATAATATATATGTATATAAAATACATATTTATGTATAAATACTCGTATATTTGTAGTGTGGAGAACGGAAAGAGAGCTTCATTTTGGTTGGATTACTAGACCGCCTTGGGTCCATTAATTGATGTGGCTGGTGATTTGGGGCCAAGGCAATTGCGGCTCCCCTGAAGGGCTAAAATTAGTGACCCAGTCCCGAGGGGAAGCTGGAATTTGTCTCCAACGAGGAATGGTAGACTGCTGCAACTGCAAGTGGTGCTAGTAGAGATTCAACCTCCAACAGACAATAGGGGCGAAGACCTTTATTTGTGACGACAGAAGGCAGGGGGTTTCAAGGCATGTTTTACTTCTTCCAACACTCGGTTTTTGCTAAGACAACGGGGAAACGATGTTCCCTGGCATAACCTGGTCTGGTTTTGAGGATCTGTCCTCGACTGACTTTCGTCCTATGACAAACAGTGTAACACCTACCCACTTCAGATAGACTATCTTCTTGGGGTGTGCAGGTTAGTACAATATGTTCCTTATGCAATTAGGAACATGAATTATATGCACACTTGTTTTTCAAGTGCTCTTTCAGCATGGATATATGAAGCACCATTGTGGAGTTCTGCTGGTCGACATCACTGTTTGAGCTTGGAGATTGTCCCCAATGGATGGAGCCATAGGACGGACTCTGACCGGGATCAGCCAACTCTAGCGAGACTAAGCATGCAAATGGTTGTCTATGAGATATGGAGAGAATATAACAATCGAGGACAATCCACAAGTTGTCGTTTCCTTGAACATTCGTATTATTTGACGCGTAATCATTGATCAAAATAGAGATATTTTATTTTTAGAATTTGTTTACCTTTTCAGAATCTTTTGTAAATGTCCTATAGGTTTTGTAAATCACATTAGTAGTAATACAAAGCATCTTTTTAAAAAAAAATAACGTGTTGTAACAATTTGTATATCATTCTGATATGTATTTATATGAATATGATATATTCTTCTTCCAATAAGTATGTTCATATTTCATATACCATGTGTATATATTAAGTGGACCGCTTAAAATTTCGAGTAAAATGTTTTGTATTTGACGAATAAAAATGTAAGAATATTTGAGAAAAACAAACCCGCATAGGTTAGTAGATTTAAAATGTTTTTTCCATTTTAATTTTTTAATATTGGAAAATGCAAAATAAAGGTGGGCCTAAAAGAAGGCCAGCAATGGAAGACTATAAATTGCCCATAGAACATAACGTGGTCCATGAGGCCCAATCACAAGAGAATATCTGACCGTTCGATTGCTTAATATCAGTGGTACAATCGTACGGCTGAAAATAGAGATTCATAGATACTTTCCATACACTCGGTGGCATCAGATTATTACCGGACGAGGGCAAAGGGATTAGGTTTAGCATACTGATCGATCTCGACTGCCGCTTCTGGCTAGGGTTTTCCAAGCTTTCATAAATTTTTTTCTCTGCGTATTCCCGACATTTTCCTCCCTCTTCTGGTTCATTTTCTCACCAGCCAGACAGCACATCAGCCTCATCACCGTACACCCACTTTCCTTCTGACGTTTCATCTAGATCTATTCCTCCATGGCTTCGATTAATCACTAGTGTTTCTGTCTTGAGTGACGTTTGTGAAAAACCCAAGGGTTTTTATCTCCTCCCCAGGGCCGTCTTCTTCATCGAATCTGTAAGAAATGGCAACTTTGAACCCTTTTGATCTGTTGGGAGACGATGCTGAGGATCCGAGCCAGCTCGCTGTCTCCGTCGCTCCGCCGGAGAAGACCGACAAGACCAAGAAACCTGCGGCTGGGCCGAATCAGGCTTCCGCGAAGCTTCCGTCGAAGCCGCTTCCTCCTGCTCAAGCTGGTGAGATTATCCTGCGTCTTCATATTGGTTGGCGAAAGATGGTTTCATTTTCCACTACTTTGTTTTATCATCCATTTGATTTCTGTAATCGTGTATTTAATGCTTATTTTTTGTTGGTAAAACGCATGATCATTAATTGACATCTGGGTTCGTTTGATTATTTCCGTCTGATAGATTGTTATTATGGTAAACTTGTGCTTACTGCCATGGCTGCTTTGTTGTTGATATCGTTATTTCATGTACGTGTATATATGTATATATATCATCTGCTGCAGAGCTTATCTGTTCATACCTTCGGTCTGGCTTCTGAACATGATTAGGTAGATAGCGTGAAACCGTAAAGGGTTATGCAGTTGAGTTTGATGCTTTTCGTTGTAACAGAACTGTTTTGTTTTTGCTTTTTTGTTCGGTCTCCTTTGAAATGTGTTCGGAATGTGCTTTTTTCATGTTATCTATTGAAAGCTGCCCACACAACTCTGACTTGTTTATGGTTTTTGTCAGTGAGGGAGGCCAGGAACGAAACTTCGGGCCGTGGTGGCCGTGGTGCAGGCCGAGGTTATGGCAGAGGTAGAGGTGGTTCTGGAGGGTACAGCCGTGATTTCAGCAGCAGTGATGCTTCTGGAGGTAACAATGGATATGGGAAACCCTCTGAGGAAGGAGATGTGACCAAAGCCTCTGAGAGGCGTGGCGGGTATGGTGGCCCTCGTGGTTCCTTCCGTGGAGGCCGTCGTGGCGGTTTCAGCAATGAAGAAGCTGGGGAAGAGCGCTCTCGTAGAATTTACGAGCGTCGTAGTGGAACTGGCAGAGGGTTGGTCATATTCTCTCTGTGCATAATGTTATATAATTATATATGAATCCTGCATTCCAAAGGGTCTACCATTATCAAGATGCTGCAGCCTGGTTGTAATCTCGTTTATTGCTTAATATTGATAGGAGTGAGTTCAAGCGTGAAGGTTCTGGTCGTGGAAATTGGGGAACTCCAGGCGAAGAACTTGTTGCGTGAGCATCTATCTGACTGATGCATTTGTTAAATATTGTGCTTTTGGTTCTGATTTGGGAAATTAGACTTATGGGTTCTTTCTATCTTTGGTACAATTGAAGTGAGACTGAAGAAACCGGTGTTGAGACCGAGAAGAAAGTTGTTGAGAAGCCAGCTGGTGATGATGAAGCTGCTGATGCTAACAAGGAAACCCCTGCCGAGGCGGAGGAGGAGAAGGAGCCTGAGGACAAGGTATCATTTATACATACATATAGGAGACCTGTGTTCTACAGGGCTGTTACAATTGTATACATTACTTTCTGTTCCTGAATCAACATGTATATATGCCATTTTCATTGTTGATGCGTCTTTTCGGTCGTGAATAGGAAATGACACTCGATGAGTATGAGAAAATACTTGAGGAGAAGAGAAAGGCTCTTCAATCTCTGGCTACCTCTGACTCTGAGAGGAAAGTTGACCTGAAAGAATTTGAGTCCATGCAACAACTCTCGAACAAGAAGGCTAATGATGAAATCTTCATCAAGTTGGTAAGAAACCATACTATTGTATCATTTACACAGTCCATTAGAAATTATAATCTCTTATTCCTGCTCTAAACTGGATCTCTTCGCAGGGTTCGGACAAGGACAAACGCAAAGATGCCCTTGACAAAGAAGAGAAAGCTAAGAAGGTCCGTATCCTATATAGTTCATGCGGCACTGGCTCCTTTATTCCAAGAATCTCCTGTGTCAAGAGTTTTTGTTATCTCTAATGCTTTTAGTTGTGTAGGGTTTCTAGTAATGGGTGTAGACTTTAGTGACTTGGGGCACCTTTACTGTTATGTGATTAGCTGAAGTTTCACAGATGGGCTTCTCTTAAACACAGTTATGAACTTGCTCCGCTCGTTTCTCGAATGCTGTTCTTATTGCTGTGTCTTTTGTTTTCCTGATACAGGCTGTTAGCATCAACGAGTTCCTGAAGCCTGCTGAGGGCGAGGGCTACTATCCACGAGGAGGCCGAGGCCGTGGACGTGGCCGCGGAGGAGGCTCAAGAGGAGGCGGATATGGCGGTTACCAGAGCAAGGCTGCACCGGCAATTGAGGATACTGCCCAGTTCCCGTCCCTTGGAGGCGGCAAGTGAGTGGGAAATGACCGAAGAAGGGGTAAACTTGCAAACGATTTATAAAAAGAAAAAGCCTTGCCTTGATCAGGGTGTAAATTTTTAGATGTGTCATCTGTTCTCTTTAGATATTTATGCACCTTTGCCTGCTTCTGTTCTGTCCCCCTTTTTCTCCAGACTTTTTTGGAACAGACCCTCTCCCTTGTCTTTTGTTTCACTGTTTTAGTACCCACTAGTTTTGTTTCCTTTGTTTTTTTTTGCCATTTAACAATCATGACAAGTTTTGGACCAATCCAATGTCATCATAAGTTTTGGGTCTTCATATATCTTATAGTCCAAGTGCTTAGGTTTTGCATTATATGACCCATTAGTTTATGTTTCTCGTGCATTGGTGGATTATACATGTGGTGACATTATATGGTGTGTAACTCATACGACAGTCCCTCAAAAGATTCCAGGAAAAAACCCAACTGAGTTGTAATACTTTTGCTTGGTCACTAAACTAAACAGGAGGGCCAATTCGGGTTTTGGTTCGGGTTCGATTCGGTTATATTCGAATTCTATTACTTTGGTGATAAAAAAATTGTGACGTTCGGTTTTTATATAAACTTCGGTTCTATATGGTTTGTTTTTTTTTGTTTGGGTTCGGTTCAGTTTCGGTATTTCAAAGAAATTATCGGTTATATTCTCAATTTTATCGGTTATTTTTTATTCGGTTCGGTTTCGGTTTTTTCTGATTTAAAGAAATCATAACCGTCCGGTTTTAATATCGGGTTCAGTTCGGATACGGTTATGTCTTATTCGGTTCGGTTTAACTCGTTTATTCGGTTATTAACCAAAATGACCATCCTTAGCTAAACAGTTTCCTTTGTATCGGCCCAAATCGGGCTCTCTGCCGAAACTGTACGGATCCGTGTTCTCTCGTTATGTCTTTTAAGACAATGGAAACTGTTTTTTCTCTTGCTACGAGATTCTCACGCCCACCGTCCGCACAAAGATTCCGATCCTTATCGTTCCTCGTAGAAAATGCAGATCGAGTTTCTGTCGGATGGTTACTAGATTTAAAATGTATTTTCCTTTTTAATTTTTTTAATATCGGAAAATGCAAAATAAAGGTGGGCCTAAAAGAAGGCCACCAATGGAAGGCTACAGATTGCCCATATTGAGAGCATAATGTGGTCCATGAAGCGCATAATACGTCCACGTGCATAGCTGGCACAATCTAAAGCCCAATCTCAGTTGTACCATCGCACGGCTGAAACGAGATTCATCGGTCCTTACCATACACTCGGCCGCATTGGATCAGTACCGAACTAGGGTTTAAAGGGATTAGGTTTAGCATTCTGATCTCCACTGCCGCTTCTGGCTAGGGTTTTCCAATCTTTCATAAACTCTTTTTTCTCTCTCTGCGTATTTCCCACATTTTCCTCCCTCCGGTTCATTTTCTCACCAGCCAGACAGCACATCAGCCTCATCACCGGACACCCACTTTCTTTTTGTCCATGGCTTCGCTTAATCACTAGTGTTGCTGTCTCGAGGGACGTTTCTGAAAAACCCAAGGGTTTTTATCTCCTTCCCAGGGCCGCCTTCTTCATCGAATCTGTAAGAAATGGCAACTTTGAACCCTTTTGATCTGTTGGGAGACGACGCTGAGGATCCGAGCCAGCTAGCTGTCTCCGTCACTCCGCCGGAGAAGACCGACAAGACCAAGAAGCCTGCGGCTGGTCCGAATCAGGCTTCCGCGAAGCTTCCGTCGAAGCCGCTTCCTCCTGCTCAAGCTGGTGAGATTATCCTGCGTATTCGTATTGATTGGCGAAAGATGGGCTTTAATTTTCCACGCTTTTGTGTTATTATTCATTCGACTGCTGCAATCGTGTATTTGATGCTTATTTTTTTGTTGGTAAAACGCATGATGAAGAATTGGTGCCTGGGTTCTGACCGGTCTCGAGATTTTCTCACGTGCTCAATCTGTTTTGTTTCTGCTTTTTTGTTCGGTCTCCTTTGAAATGTGTTACGAATGTGCTTTTTCATGTAATCTAAGGAAAGCTGCCCACACGTCTCTGATTTGTTTATGGGTTTTGTCAGTGAGGGAGGCCAGGAATGAAACTTCGGGCCGTGGTGGTCGTGGTGCAGTCCGAGGTTATGGCAGAGGTCGAGGTGGTTCTGGAGGGTTCAACCGTGAGTTTAACAGCAGTGATGTGTCTGGAGGTAACAATGGATATGGCAAACCCTCTGAGGAAGGAGATGTGACGAAAGCCTCTGAGAGGCGTGGCGGATATGGTGGCCCTCGCGGTTCCTTCCGTGGAGGCCGTCGTGGCGGATTCAGCAATGGGGAAGCTGGGGAAGAGCGCTCCCGTAGGACATACGAGCGTCGTAGTGGAACTGGCAGAGGGTTAGTCATATTCTCTCTGTGCATAATGTTATATATTTATATATGAATCCTGCATTCCAAAGGGTCTACCATTATCAAGATGCTGCAGCCTGGTTGTAATCTCGTTTATGGCTAAACATTGATAGGAGTGAGTTTAAGCGTGAAGGTTCTGGTCGTGGAAATTGGGGAACTCCAGGGGAAGAACTTGTTGCGTGAGCATCTATCTGATTGATGCGTTTGTTAAATAGTATGCGTTTGGTTCTGTTTTGGGAAATTAGACTTACGGTTTCTTTGAATCTTTGGTACAATTGAAGTGAGACTGAAGAAACCGGTGTTGAGACCGAGAAGAAAGTTGTTGAGAAGCCAGCTGGTGATGATGAAGCTGCTGATGCTAACAAGGAGACCCCTGCTGAAGCGGAGGAGGAGAAGGAGCCTGAGGACAAGGTATCATTTATACATACGTATAGGAGACCTGTGTTCTATAAAGCTGTTAGCTTACTGTCCATTACTTTCTGTTCCTGAATCAACATGTATACGCCATTATCATTGTTCATGCGTCTTTTCGGTCGTGAATAGGAAATGACACTCGATGAGTATGAGAAAATACTTGAGGAGAAGAGAAAGGCTCTTCAATCTCTGGCTTCCTCTGACTTTGAGAGGAAAGTTGACCTGAAAGAGTTTGAGTCCATGCAACAACTCTCAAACAAGAAGGCCAATGATGAAATCTTCATCAAGTTGGTAAGAAACCATACTATTGTATCATCTCCACAGCCCATTAGAAATTATAATCTCTTATTCCTGCTCTAAACTGGATCTCTTCGCAGGGTTCGGACAAGGACAAACGCAAAGATGCCCTTGACAAAGAAGAGAAGGCTAAGAAGGTCTGTATCCTATATAGTTCATGCAGCACTGGCTCCTTTATTCTCAGATTCTCCTTTGTCAAGAATTTTTGTTATCTCTCATGCTTTTAGTTGTAGGGTTTCTTGTAATGGGTGTAGACTTTAGTGACTTGGGCACCTTTACTGTTATCTGTTTAGCTGAAGTTTCACAGATATGAACTTGCTCTGCTCATTTCTCGAATGATGTTCACATTGCTGTGTCTTTTGTTTTTCGTGATGCAGTCTGTTAGCATCAACGAGTTCCTGAAGCCAGCTGAGGGTGAGGGTTACTATCCACGAGGAGGCCGAGGCCGTGGCCGTGGACGTGGAGGAGGTTCAAGAGGAGGGGGATACGGGGGTTACCAGAACAAGGCTGCACCGGCAATTGAGGATACTGCCCAGTTCCCGTCCCTTGGAGGCGGCAAGTGAGTGGGAGATAACCGAGGAAGGGGTAAACTTGCAAACGATTTATAAAAAGAAAAAGCCTTGCCTTGATCAGGGTGTAAATTTTTAGATGTGCCATCTGTTCTCTTTAGATATTTATGCACCTTTGCCTGCTTCTGTTCTGTCCCCTTTTTTCTCCAGACCTTTTTGGAACAGACCCTCTCCCTTGTCTTTTGTTTCACTGTTTTAGTACCCACTAGTTTTGTTTTTTTTTTCTTTTGCTATTTAACAATCATGACATGTTTTGGACCAATCTAATGTCATCATAAGTTTTGGGGTCTTCATATTATCCTATCCTATGGTCCAAGTGCTTAGGTTTTTCATCATAACCCCATTAGTTTATGTATCTTTTGCGTTGGTGGACTATACATGTGGTGACGCTTTATGGTGTGTAAGTCATACGACAGCCCTCGAAGGATTCCAGGAAAAAACCCAACTGAGTTGAAGTGCTTCCATGGTCTCTAAGCTAAACAGTTTCCGTTCAATTGTGGTTGTTTTTCTTCATGTTGGGCCAAAATCTCTGATTACCGGAAATGTACGGATCTGTGTTCTGTCGTTGTGTCTTTTAGACCATGAAAACTGTTCCCTTCTGCTACGAGATTCTCACGCCCACCATACGACAAAGATTCCGATCCCTCTCGTTCCTCGTAGAAAATGCAGATGCCATGTCGGACAGATCGAGTTTCTTTCACTCCCGTTCATCACCACGTTCATCTCTGGTTCTGCCCGATGGCTTGGATTCTCGAGCGGCTGCTGAAGTTCCCGATCAAGACGAGATCACGTCCTGGAACAGGATTATCGCCCGGCATATTCGTTCAGGCGAACTTGATTCCGCCATGAAAGTGTTCCATGGCATGAGAGCCAAGAACATTGTCACCTGGAATTCGATTCTTGCGGGTATCTCCAAAGTGCCCGGGAGATTGAGTGAAGCACAGAAGCTGTTCGAAGAAATTCCCCATTCGGACGTTTTCTCTTACAACACAATGCTGTCTTGCTACGTCCGCAACTCCGATCTCCAGACCGCTCGGAGCTTCTTCGATCGGATGCCGGTCAGGGACGTGGCGTCCTGGAACACGATGATCACTGGGTACGCTCGGCAAGGCCAACTGGAAAAAGCACGGGAAATGTTCTCCGCCATGCCGGATAAGAACGAAGTCACCTGGAACGCGATGATCTCTGGGTATGTAGAATGCGGAGATTTGGAGACGGCTTCGTCGATTTTCAGAGCGGCCCCGGTAAAGGGCGTCGTGGCCTGGACGGCGATGATCACAGGGTATATGCGGTCCAAGAAGATCGGATTAGCCGAGGCTGTGTTCCGTGACATGCCGGTGAAGAAGAATCTCGTGACATGGAACGCCATGATCTCGGGTTATGTGGAGAATTCCTGGCCAGAGGATGGCTTGAAGCTTTTCCGAGCAATGCTGGAAGATGGCATCAGGCCTAACCCGTCGAGCCTGAGCAGTGCTCTGCTCGGCTGCAGCGAGCTATCGGCCTTACAGCTCGGGAGACAAGTTCATCAGTTAGTGTGTAAATCTCCATTATCAAACGACACAACTGCATCGACATCCCTGATCAGTATGTACTGCAAGTGCGGAGACTTAGTAGATGCTTGGAAACTCTTCACGGGGATGAAGAGGAGAGATATCGTGGCCTGGAACGCCATGATTTCTGGGTATGCTCAACATGGGCAGGCTCAAAAGGCTCTGGAACTGTTCGGGGAAATGAGAAACGGTGGAATCAGACCAGACTGGATAACATTCGTGGCGGTTTTACTGGCGTGTAACCACAGCGGTCTCGTCAGGGCCGGGATGGAGTTTTTCGATTCGATGGTGAGTGACTACGGGATTCAACCGCGACCAGATCACTACACTTGTATGGTCGATCTTCTGGGTCGGGCTGGGAAGTTAGATGAGGCATTGAAGCTGGTGAAGTCAATGCCTTTCAGACCACATGCCGCGATTTACGGGACACTCTTAGGGGCTTGTAGGGTTCACAAGAATGCGGAAATGGCTGAGTTTGCAGCCAAGAAGCTGCTTGAGCTCGATCCAAGCAGCGCAGCCGGGTATGTACAGCTCGCTAACGTCTATGCATCGAAGAATCAGTGGCAAGAAGTCGCTAGAATCCGTAAGAAAATGAAGGAGAACAAGGTTGTGAAGGTAAGATCGTATAGTTTTCATCCGACTACGAACAACAAGATTCTTGCTTTACGAGATATTATCGGTTGATGATTCTGTCAGATACCCGGGTACAGTTGGATCGAGATAGAGAACGAGGTCCATGAATTCCGATCAGGGGATCGAGTCCATAGAGAGATGGGATCGATAGAGGAGAAACTGAAGGAGACGGAGAAGAAGATGAAGGAAAAAGGGTACGTGCATGAGCTGGAGTTTGCGTTGCATGACGTAGGGGACGAGCAGAAGGCGCAGTTGCTGATGCGTCACAGCGAGAAGCTGGCGGTGGCGTTCGGGTGCATGAAGGTGCCGAAGGAGCTGCCGGTTCGTGTTTTCAAGAACCTTAGAATATGCGGGGACTGTCATAAGGCGATCAAATTGATTTCTGAGATCGAAGGGAGAGAGATCATTGTTAGGGATACCACCAGGTTTCACCATTTCAAGGATGGCTCCTGCTCTTGTGGTGATTACTGGTGAGTTTATGTTTTTTATTATAATAAAATCGGTTTTTTTTTTCTTTTTGTAAAATCTGATGCAAATATAGGAATTTATTATCTTTTTTTTTCAAATATTTAATGCTTCAAATATCGTGATTTTTTTATAATTAAAATTACCGATTTTAGTTGGAGATCAAGAAAAGTTCATATATTTTTTAAGAATTTTAAAATTATATATCTTGAGAGTTTTAAAATGCATATATTGATTTAATAAATGGTCATGTATTTATATAATATTTTCCATTTCTTTCAATGCTATTAGAGAATTTTGTTGTATTCAATATGCTAAAAGTAAACTAGGATTTGAAATGCTTGGAAGTTCTTGGGGGTACTTCGGTAATTATGGCGATATGCCGCGTCAAACCTACGCGCTGCGGCTTCATTCCAGGCTGCTTCCGTGCTCTTTCTCATGCTCGTTTTCCATCGTTGCGCGTGCCTTTGACTCTCATGGGCAAAATGGTCAAATCTCATTTCCACATATACACACGTGTGTGTATATATATGCTCCTTTGTGAAATAATCTTATTCGTTTTACCGCCGAACGCGTTGACGAAAAGGAAGGGAGATATGCGTAGATCGGCGAGCAGTTCCAGAGTCTCCGACCAGTTTCCGGCGAATAACCCGGCGCCGTCTCCGTCTCCGTCTCCGTCTCCGTCTCCGCTGCGTTCTCTGTCGCAGAGCTCTGTAACTGCGGAGGAGAGGCAGCAGCTGTTGCCGAGGTACGATCCAAACTCTCATCCTGGGAAGAGAGAGAAATCGCGGCTCAGATCCTCCGAGAACGTCATCCATATCATTCCTCTCGTTCTCGTTCTTTGCGCCGTTATCCTCTGGTTGTTCTCGCATCCAGGTAAATGCTGACTGATCCAGGTTTTGTTCTCTCCGGTGAAATTGTGATTCTCGAAACGATTCGAATGGTTTACGCTGAATGTGGTCTGCGGATTAGGTTATCTGACGTCTCAGATTTCGTCTTCTTGGTTTCTGTGGAAAATTTGTTTATGGATGCCGAAATTGATCCAATTACATACAGCGCTTTGCGATACATGCTTTTCTGGTGTAACTTTTTTTTCCGGGTTTTGACCGTTTATTACATCCTGTTTAAAACAGTACAGGATGATCTAATCCATATACTGCAACTTGGTGTTTGTGATCTAAGATCTATCATTATGTTTTGTTGTGCTTAGAGTACGCTGTTGATTTGTTCGCAGTCACGATACTAAAACAGTGATGATTGGCATGTCAGCTGCATCAAGGAGTTAATTCTTCCGAAGGAATTCTTTACTCAGTGCTCTTCTCTGTGGAGCCCTTGCGGAGATGGTGAAATTGTCTGATAAGAGATGAGTGCCTGTCAAAGCTATTTCTCCTATGGTGGAAAAGATGTTGATGCTTGGCTTCTTTGAGTGGGTATGCAGCACAGGTAATTTATGACTTGATAGGAAGATAGTCAATAGGAACCAATTGTCTGTTGTCGAGAGATTCTCTAAAAAATCATAGCAATAGAAATTTCCCTCGATAGCATTGACCATATGTAATGGTTTATTCTTTACACACTTCCAAAGAGATTGTGTCAAAATTCTTTGAATATTATCTGTAGGAGTTCTTTTCTGGTACTTTTTTCCAAGCGCTGTTGCAATGAAATGTATGAGTTGACATCTCTATCTTATGCAATGGATCTGCGTATAAGAGTTCATCTTTCTGCACCACAGAGGCTCACACTCAAAGTTCATGTGTTCCAACATCGATCCGTGCCTTACCCCTTTAGGTATGACAACATTCTCTAACAGAATACACAAGAGGGTTGCCCCATTGCAGATGTGTTCCAACTCGACTTGCACTCATTGTTAATTGGAAAGCAGAGATCCTGTTGCTGCTTCCGCTGGTTCAGTCCCTCAAGTCATTGCGCACCGGTAAGCTTTCTCGCCAAAACTACTTGTAATTTTTATGTCTGGGCTCTGGAGGAGCTATGATTGGCCAGATCCATCGGTCTGCAAGAGTTCTGTTCTGCCGATCATCTGGTGTTAGAGCTATGAGGTTTGGCAAATCTTCAGGGAAGGTACTAACTATAACTGCTAACAAGTTATTGTGCTGTGTTCCTTTAGAAAAACTGGATCTGTAAATTTCATCCATTTAAGACCGTTTGCATTGCTTTGTATCCTTTTTCAATTTGGATTTTGAAGGAAAACCCCGATGGATCATGGAGGCAGCTTTGGTGGCAAGTGTCTGCCAAGAGTAACTCTTCTTGGCTGTAAGAGTGAAACAAAAAATCTTGGATGAATTTTCCAAAAAGAGAGAAGAGGAGACCACGACAAAGATAAGTCATTTCATTTGTTTTCTCCTACTTGTGGATTATATATTCTTCATAGATATGATTCCACTTCCTTATGAGATTGTTGGATGAATTTTCCATTAACCGTTTCTGATACCAACCATTAAGATCTGTTCGGATCCTTGTTTGTTTTCATTCTGTGTTATTTTGCATTGTCAATGTCCGAGCGGTTATTGAACTTCGGTTTTGGGATATCTATACATACCGGTTACTCTCCTCTCGGTCAATGCTTTAACCGACCGGTGTGCGTACTTGTGTCATGGGGTTAGCTTCGAGCTATGAACCCACGTGCGGCGGCTTGGTCTCGGTGTGAGATGGAAGGGCTTGGTTCGAGCGGATTCTCGGAACAAGGCCTAATGGGAGCCAAACTTAGCCTTAGGATTCGAACAAGGAGAGAACCGAGAGATTGAGGATAGAAAGTATAAAAGGGGAAGTCTGTGTTAGCGTGTTTATTGATTGTGCAAAAGATACAAACAAGTTACAGCGCCTTGGTACAAGAGAGGACGAGACACCGATGATTATGGTGGTGACGGCAGTCTGTACAAGCAAAAGGAACAAGGCGGCGCAAAAAGGAGGTTTTTGGGACTTCGGAGAAATTGAAGAATAATGGGGAGTTTCGAGATGCCTTCCCAAGTCTCACGAGCCGAGATTTTATTAGGTTTGATTTAAGGATCAGAAATGAAAAGTTCACAAATTTGGTCTCTTTACTTCCATATGGCTCCTACTTGCCTCGAATTAAAAAGAAAATGACTAGAACATTCCTAAACACAAATACATTGAACCTAGACCTCTAAATGGCCTTTGGTCTGAACTCAAACCATCAAGGATGGTTGGACACGACCAAGAACTCGTCATGGGTCATGTCCGAGCCAAAACAGGTAAGTCTTGGGTCACAGCCGTCTTCGGCCATGGTCACGTGTTGGTCAGCTCCAGAGTCGATGAGAGAGTGTACTGGAGTCCGGGCCTGATTGTCTGAAGTCGTATGTGCTTCGTGACCCGTTTGGAAGCACAATCGAGGTTTCTCGGCATTGTTTTGGTCTTTGACTCGTTCATGACTAAACTTGCATGATCCAATGGACGAGGAAAATGAACAAAGATAAAAGTGCGAAAAATTTATCTATCTTTCTCTTGTGCAGAATATAATGTAGTCAAGCGTATAGATTCCGGTAACTCGAAAGAGAATTTTTTTTTATTAAATATAGGGTTTGGGAGTGTGGCACATGTTTTTTAATCTTTTTTTTTAACTATGTTTTTTTTAAATCTTTTAAATGCCATTTTTGTTTTCACGAGGTTTTTGGAAAAAGAGTTAGGTCTCCTATTCAAATGCGCAATTCAATACCTCTAAAAAGGCCCTAAACTATTAATGATTTCTAATTTTCTAGCCACCGATATGAATACGATATCTAGGTGAAAGAGTTAGCTCTTCGTGTATCAAATCGGCGCTCATCCATTTCCCGAATGCTCTCCATGATGTTACCGTATTTGGCTTTTAGTATTCCCGTATTTGGTTTGTTCTCTTGACCTTTTTTTAAATTTATTTTTCGTTCTCTTGTGTTTTACTCATAACCCTACTCTTCATGGGGTTTTTTTCTTCTTTACTTGCGTATTTTCTTCTAATTGAACTTTATATATATATATAATCCGAAAATTCGCCTTATTTTTTACTCAACTACATCTTCCAAAAGATCGAGAAATTTCACATGAATTTTTTTCTCCAAGTCTACATTCGGATCTAGGTTGAGCCATTTCTTACCGGTTGACCCACCCAATCTTGGATTTTGATTGAATTTATTTTATTTATCCTTCAATATAACATCAAATCTCGGAGAGTAATTTCGATATAATGTATTTTAGCTAGTATATAAATCTTTTTTCTTAGAATTATTTAAGAACGATAATTTGTATGAATGGAATTGAAGTCGTATAAACGAGGGAAGCCATTGAAAGAGTGGGGGACCAAAAATATTTGTGAGCTTAATGTTTACAAAAAAGCAAAGAAATCCCAGCTGTTAACTTCAGTCTCTCACCCACTGTGTGTATATAATTAAGGAACAACGTTTTCATTAATGGCCACCTTTCACCCACATAGTGTATATAATTAAGGAACAACGTTGTCAATAAACATGGTTTTATCCCGCTTTGTAACCATTAAATTAAATATCTACTATTGTATTTTACATCAAATACACACACATATATATATATATATATATGCACTTGCAACTAACGATGTGTTTATCCGTATTTGCATAATAATAATAATAATAATAATAATAATAATAATAATAATAATAATAATAATAATATAAAATGAAACTGAAACTGAAACATAATGGTTTGCAACTTTTCACGCATTATGAGGATGCATTCAATTCAATGAAAACGCCTCCTCGTTCAAACGGGCGTGTGGATGGAATTGGCTCTGACTTGGGGTGGTTGAGCAAGTGGGCTCTCGATTTTTGGCTTTTTCATATTAGACAGACTTCCCTAAAAGCTTCAAATGGGACAGGATGCAACTTTCGGAAATTATGGGTATGTTCTGTAATTTTAGAACTAGTGTGGGGCTGTCCCTGCAATAATGTAAGTTAGTTGGTGGCAGTTGAATTTCATCTCTATTGTTGATAATGCTAATGTCATATATATATACACACATATATGTATATATAACTTAATGCAATCACTAGACATATATATGTATATACACATATTGGCAAAAGATTTCAAATTATACAAAATCTGCATCCTATACACATTCCAATTTTTTTTATAATCCGAAATTTTACCGTATTTTCAGTCTAACTATATCTTTCAAAATATTGAAAAAATTCAGATAAATATATTTTCCCAAATAAAAAATCGAAAGAAATTTTGCTCCGCCCTTACCAATTGAGTCACCTGGTATTGGGTCATATTCTAAATTTATGTTCATGACCGTTCGATATCTCTTCAATAGCAATTGTAATCGTTGATCACTATGAAAAATTATGCTCAACATGTGTGTATTGCATTTAATACCGTCTAACTAGTTGTTCAATTTGCCACGGGTTTAAAGGCGACAGTGCGTACGATCTACCAATTAGCAAGTGGGATTTTAATTTATTCAATTTTAGATGAATTTTGGAACATTTTTTCCTTTTTAAACCGTCAAAACCCAAAATGGAAAGGAGAGATTAAATAATATAGTAACAATAACAAAAATATCGCTTCATTCCTAAGTTCATTTGGGATCGCCCCAATGAATCTTTCTTCTCCACTCATTTCGATCTCGGATTAATTCTTTCGAAATATGCAACACTTCCAAATCGTTTCTAATGACACGCTTCCAAATAAGTTTAGGTCTACCTCTTTCTTTCATTTTCACCCATATACCTATACTCTCCACTTTTCTAACCGGCGTATCTATCGGTCTACGTGGTACATGTCCAAACCATTTTAAACGCCTCTCCCATACTTTCTTTTTAATATCTATTACTTCTATTTTCTTTTCGATATCTATTACTTCGCCCTCAAAACCCAATATGGAAAGGAGAGGTCAAATAATATAGAAACAAAAACACAAAATTAGATAATGTTTTTTACCAAATTTATTATCTGAAATATAACAAATATAAATAGTAGCTTGTTTAAGAAAGAATAATTCCATTCACCTTTTAGGTACACCAAACAACAGTAATTTATTTTATTTTTAATGTGACCCAACGGGATATTGACAAATCCCCCTATGCTTTTAAATAACCTCATATATAGTATTTTATTTAACCGTAAAAAATGTAACACGTGAATCTGAATTATTTAAATTATAGTTAAATGCAAACAATATTATATATAATGGGCGATGCTTCCAGGTTTATGGTTCACAAAATAAATAAATTAGCATGCATAGTGTATTTGTAAGGTAAAATCCCTAAAAAAATTCGAACTTGCAAAAAAATATATAAATAAACCTTCAATTTGCAAAGTTGTCATTCAAACTTCAAACTTGAAACATGTAGTTGAATAAAACCTCGAACTTGCAGACTGATACTCTAATAACCCGTTAACTTGTTTGACCACAATTTCAGACGATCGGAAATCCACGTTGGCCCGGAAAGCTGATGTCAATGTGTCAATGTAACCAACTTTAAATGAATTTTTGCCACATCAGCATTTTTTTTTCGTCGAAATTTAATCCGATTTGAGAGTAAATAAAGTCGGTTTTCCGGGCCAACATAACAGAACATAATCAGATTGAAGGTTTATTCGGTTAAAATTGGTTACGTGGACACGCTGATATCAGCTTTCCAGGCCAAAGTGGATTTTCGATCCTCAGAAATTGTGGTCAAATAAGTCAATGGGTTATTAGAGCAATAATTTGCAAGTTCGAGATTTTTTTTTTGGTTAACCGGGTTTCCTGAACCGAAGCCCAGACTAATCCCGGGGCCGGGAGCCAGCCATGTGATTTGAATTATACGCTCTCTCCCCAACCTGGGGTTCGAACTCGGGGCGGGACAGACGCTTTGCGTCCCCGTTTCACCGGTTGAACTATCCAGGTTGGGTAAGTTCGAGATTTTATTCAGTCACATGTTGTAAATTTGGGATTTGAACGATAACTTTGCAAGTTAAAGATTTATTTGTATAATTTTTTGTAAGTTCGAGGTTTTTAAGGGGTTTTACATAAATAGTTGAGGAAGGCACCAACAATATTTCATTAACAAATAATAGGTCACCTTCAAAAATATTTACGAGAGTCCACGCCTTAACTGCAGATGCTAACCAAAAAAAAAATTGAGTTAGAGCTGGATTTGAACTATGAACATTCTTATACAAACGGGGGTCTTTTCTGCAAATAAAAAAGTTTAGAGCTTTGTTCATCATTAGCTTACAAAGTTAGGGACTGTTTTTGATATTTACTAAGTCTCATGTTCCTATAAAGAGGAGCTGCACCAAATGCAGATTCACACAAAGCCGACAATATGGTAACCGAATTCCCCAAATCGCAGATCGTCGGCGTGCAATCCGTCATGCCGGCGAAAGTGACTCAGCACCGGAAAGTTCGGACCATATCCGTCGGAGATCCCGCCGGAGCAGGAATATTCCGGCGAACCCTCGACATAGTTCTGTACTACAAACACAGCGCCGGAGATGAAGACTCGGGGTGGTTGGTCGCCGGGTGGATTAAGGAGTCACTCGGAAG